TTGCCAATACCATGCTGATTTTATCACAGTAGCTTTGTAGTATAATTTCAAGTCAGGAATTGTAATGTCTCCTTTCTTGTCTTTGTTGGCCAGGATTGCCTGTGCTATTCTAGGTCTTTTCTGGTTCCAAATAAATTTTAGGAATGATTTCTAGGTCTGTGAGGTATGTTGGTCATAGTTTGATAGGGATTGCATTAAGTCTATTCTCTGCTCTTATTTTTATAGCTTCCTGTCTTGTACAAGCTTTTCATTTAGCTTGCTGTTCTTTTTGTGGAAGTTTGAGGTTCACCATTAAGCAGTTTATTTGTGCTTGCTTTGTTTTCCTGATAGAAGTATTCTCTGCTATAAATTGCCTCTTAGGACTGCTTTCATTGTATTTCATAAGTTCTGGTATATTGTGTTGTGATTATTGTGGGAAACCTGTGATTGGTATCTATTTTATAATAGTGTCAGCCACACTCTTAAGTTTTTATTCTTCTGCTGAGTTAAGCTTCTATTCCCTCTTACCCCACCTATTTGCCTTAAGTCTCCTGCTATTCTCCAGGGGTGGGACCTTCCTCTGTTGCTTAGATACCTGCTGAGGTCAAGAGCCCAGACTTCCTCATTCCTACACTCCCTTTATATACCCAGCACCTCCCCTAAATAAACCAGACTTGATCAGAACTTGTCTTGTCTGCATTTCTTGTGTCTCCTGTCCCTTCTCATCCCCACTCCCCCTCTAGGGTCCTCACTGACTAACCCGGGGGTCGGGACAGATTATCATTTAATTGTGGAAACTGTCTAATTTCTGTTTTAACTTCATTTGTAATCCATTGCTTCCATGTGTTTATGGAGTTTTTTTTTTTTAATATTTTTGGTACACGGTCTCACTATATTTATCATATTCCTAGTGATCCATCTGTTATCAGCCTCCCCAGCACTGGGATTACTGTCATGTGTCCCCTTGCCCAAACCCAGTGGCTTGCTGTGTGTGCCTGTGGGTAGGGATGGCTTGGCATGTGGTGCCCTGGAATCAAACCCCAGTCTCTGCACTTGCCTAAGCAAGTGCTTTGTCCACTGAACTATCTGGCAAGCCCTTGTGTTTAGGCATTTCTTGTGGTTTCTTTTGCCATTGATTTCCAAGTTCAGTGCACTGTGGTCTGGTAATATGGAGGGGATAATTTTCATTGCTTTGAATTTACTCAAGTCTGTTCTGTGAGCTAGTGTGTGGTCTAGTTTGGAGTATATCCTGTGTGCTACTGAGAAGAATGTGTATCATGATGTTGTGGAGTGGAATACTCTAAGCATCTACTAAGTACATTTGTTCAAAAATTTGGTTTAGGGCTGGGGATATAGCTCAGCAGAGTAATTGCCTGCCTGGCAACCACAAAGTCCTGAGTTTAATCCCCAGGAATGAAAAAAAAAAAAAAAAAAAGGTTCAGTTCTACTATTTTGTTGTTGACTGTTTTGTTTAGTTGATCAATCTTTTTGTGCCAGTGGGTATTAAGATGCCTCAATCCAAAGGTATTAGTGCTAATTTTACTTTTCATGCCCATTAATATTTGTTTTATATAGTTGGGCTTGCTTGTTTTTGTTGCATGTATTTTCATAGTTGTTATCCCTTCCTGTTGAGCTGTTTCCCTTTACAAGGTTCTAGCAACATTCTTAATCTCTTTTAATCAGTGTTGGTTTGAAATTCACTTTGTTTGCAAATAGAATAGGTACTCCTGCTTTTTTTCTGAGTTCCCATCACATGGAGTATTGTTTTCCAGCCTTTGACTTTCAGCTGATGAATTTCTTTTTTAACTAAATGTGTTTCTTGTTTGTAGCATATTGTTGGATCTTGCTTTTTTGATTCACTCTGCCAGTCTGAGTGTTTTGTTTGGTGGATTGCAGCCATTAACATTGGTGGTTATAACTGAGATCTACTGCATTATCCTTGTTATGTTATGTTTCTTTTGTTGCCACCCCCACCATCTTTATGTCCTCCTGTTTAATTGTTGGCCTTGCCTGGTGTAGTTCTTCTGTTGAGGTTCATGGTGTTGTAGTCCTTGTAGCTCCATAACTATCCCCCCCACTTTTTTTTTGTGGAACCAGGGATTGAACTCAGGCCCTTGAGCTTGCCAGGCAAGTGCTTATTCTACTGAGCCATCTCCCTGGCCCCTGTATCCCTTTTTTTTATTTTTTATTTTTTTATTTATTTTTTTTTTCCCTGTATCCCTTTTTATAATGTCCTTCAAAGCAATTTGGAGTCCTGGTTGGGTGAGCATACATTTTATCAGATGTTCTTTGTTATAAAAGTGTCTTATTTCTCCATCAGTTTTAAAGATATTTTTGCAGGATCTATCAGTCTGGGTTAAAGACTGTTTCTTTTAAAACCTGAAATACTTTATACTTAGCTGTCCTTGATTTGAGGGTTTATTACCTTTATAGGTGATTTCTTTCTTTTCCCAACAGTTTTAAGATTCTATTCTTGTTTTGACTTTCTTGAATCTTGATTATGATAGGCCTGGGTATAGTTTTTTTTGTTTTACTGTGACTAATTGAAATTGTATATGCCTGTCTTTTTCTTAAAACTTAATTTTATTGAGAAAGAAGTAGCCATAAGACAGTTTCAAAACAAGTCAGTAGGATAGTTACAATAAT